ATAGCACCTCCATCACCAGGGCTAAATGCTACGGTAAGGTCAATTTTGATTGTTCTCTCCCTTGCTTGAAGATAACTCTCAAATCTTGTCTGCTTTTTGTTTGGTTGGTTTGTTTGTTTGTTTTTCCTCCACATTAAATCACACAGAATTACAGAATCACAGAATTGTAGGGGTTGGAAGGGACCTCCAGAGATAATTGGGTCCAACCCCCCTGCCAAAGCAGGTTCCCTAGAGCAGGTCACCCAGGTGGGTGTCCATACGGGCCTTAAATATCTCCAGAGAAGGAGACTCCACAACCTCTCTGGGCAGCCTGTCCCAGTGCTCCGTCACCCTCACTGTGAAGAAGTTCTTTCGCATGTTGGTGCAGAACTTCCTGTGCGCCATTTTGTGGTCATTGCCCCTTGTCCTGTCCCCACAAACTACTTGAAAAGAGGTTGGCCAAACCCCTCTGTCTCCCACACTTAAGATACTTGTAAACATTGATAAGATCCCTTCTTAGTCTTCTCTTCTCCAGGCTGAACAGCCCCAGGTCTCTCAGCCTTTCCTCATACGGAAGATGCTCCAGGCCCCATATCAACTTTGTGGCCCTCCAGAGATCCCTGGAGATCCCTGTCTTTACAGGAGATCCCTGTCTTTTTTGTACCAGGGAGCCCAGAATTGGACCCAGTACTCCAGGTGAGGCCTGGCCAGGGCAGAGTAGAGGGGGAGGATCACCTCCCTTGACATGCTGGCCACGCTCCTTTTAATGCACACCAGGATCCCACTGGCCCTCTTGGCCACGAGGGCACACTGCTGGCTCATGGTCAACCTGTCATCCACCAGGACCCCCAGGTCCTTCTCCTCACAGCTCCTCTCCAGCAGGTCATCCCCCAGCCTGTACTGATCCATGCGGCTGTTCCTTCCCAGGTGCAGGACTCTACACGTGCTCTTGTTAAACCTCATTTGGTTTCTTCCTGCCCATCTCTCCAGCCTGTCCAGGTCTCGCTGAACAGCAACACAGCCTTCTGGCGTGTCAGCTACTCCTCCCAGCTTCTTATCATCAGCGTATTTGGTGAGGGCAGACACTATTCCCTCATTAAGGTCATCGATGAAGATGTCAAACAAGACCAGAACAGCACTAACCCCTGGGGAACACCGCTAGTCACAGGTCTCCAGCCGGACCCTGTGCCGCTGATCACCACCCTCTGAGCTCAGCCAGTCAGCCAGTTCTCAACCCACCTTACTGTCCACTCCTCTATCCCACACTTTCTCAGCTTTGCTATCAGGATGTCATGGGAGACAGTATCAAAAGCCTTGCTAAAGTCAAGGTAGATGACATCCACCGCTCTCCCCTCATCTACCCAGCTGGCGATGCCATCATAGAAGGCAACGAGGTTGGTTGAGCACAATTTCCCCTTCATGAATCCATGCTGATTACTCCTCATAACCTTATTCTCTTCCAATTACTTGGAGATGGCATCCAGAACAAGCTGTTCCAACACCTTTCCAGGGACAGAGGTGAGACCAACTGGCCTCCTGTAGTTTCCTGGATCCTCCTTCTTGCCCTTCTTGAAGACCGGAGTGACATTGGCTGTCCTCCAGTCTTCAGGCACCTCTCCTCTTCTCCAAGATCTTTCAAAGATGATAGAGAACGGTTTGGTGATTACCTCCGCTAACTCCCTCAGCACACATGGATGCATCCCATCGGGGCCCATGGATTTGTGTGCGTTGAGCCCACTCAGACGCTCCCGAACCACTCCCTTGTCAACCAAGGGGGAGATCTCCACTTCCCAGACTCTTTCTCCCCCCTCCAGGGTTGAGGAGTCCCGGGGGGAAGTCTTTGAAGTAAAGACCAAAGCAAAGAAAGCATTCAGTATCTCCGCCTTCTCAGCGTCCCCAGTTACCAGGACACCCCCCTCGTTCAGCAGGGGACCCACATTATCCCTAGTCTTACTTTTACATAAGTTTACATACTTAAGAAAACAAAAAACAAAACAAACAAAAAAAACACTTCTTATTATCTTTTATCTCTTTTGCAAGCCTCATCTCTAGGTGGGCTTTAGCCTTCCTTGTCGCGTCCCTGCAGGCCCTGAAAACACTCCTATACTCCTCTCAAGAGGACAGGCCCTTTTTCCACATTTCATTGACCTTCCTCTTCCTTTTGCCCAGCCACACAGGTCTCCTGACCCCCTCCCCAGGTTTCCTACTCTTTGGGATGCACCGATCCTGAGCTTGGAAGAAGTGCTGTTTAAATGTTGCCCAGCTCTCACAAGCACCCTTGCCTTCTAGCAATCTAGTCATAAGATACCCCCAAGTAGGTCAAGGCTGGCTCTCTGAAAATCCAGGGTAGCAATCCTACTTTTTGCCTTACTTCTTCCACCAAATTTCATCTTGAACTCCACCATCTCATGGTCATTGCATCCCAAACTTCACATCCCTAATAAGCCCATCCCTGTTGGTAAGAACAAGGTCCAGAAGCACCCTCTGCCTTGTTGGTTCCTCCACCACCTGTACCACAAAATTATCTTCAACACATTGAAGGAACCGTTTGGACTGCATGTGTGGGGCCTTTCCCAACAGGTATCTGGATAATTGAAGTCCCCATGAGAACCAGCACCTGGGATCGCGAGGCTACTTCCAGCTGCCTCATCGACCTCATCCTCCTGATCTGGTGACCTGTATTACACCCCCACAACAGCGTCACCTATACCTGCCTGCCCCTTAATCCTCACCCGCAAACTCTCCACTTGTTCATCACCCTCCCCCAGGAGGAAAGTCTAATTAAAGTCTATTTCTTGATTTACAGCCAAACATTTAGCCTTTTCTTCTGTATGTTTTTTTTTTCTTCTCTTCTTAGGTCTTTCCTAAGGTTTTGTTGGTTTTGTTTCCTTTTCAGAATGCTTGCTGCCAAAATTATCAATCACCTGTCTTTTCTTTTCTGACACAGATGCTGTGGAAATCATGATCCTCCTTGTAACTGAGATTGTGATGACACCATATAATTATACACTATATAATTGCATGGTGTGTTTGGCATATTAATGTTTTTACTCCCATGAAAATCAATATCATTTTCATTTTGCAAGTTAGCCCTGTGTAATTGTCTGTAGGCAGTGAATAAGCATTTCTCCCACAATTTTGAAGTTTGTTTTTCCGGTCAACCAGTCTGTGTAGCTCTGTTCACCTGAATTTGCTGAGCAAAAGCGTTTGGAGACCTACTTTTTTATTTTTATTTTAAATGTATGCACTTAAGTATGTTTGAATTTATCCGTTTGAGTTCACGTGCTTCAGAACAGCTGCTCAAGCACAGTGAATTTTAATCCTTGGCCATTTCTCCTCATTCTGCCTCTGGCTGGAGCCAAGCTGAGGCTGAATTTCTTGCCCTCTTGTGAGAAATCTTAGGCCTCTGACCTTGAAATGCTGACATTTTTGCAGATATGGCCAAAATAATTCAAGACACCAGGCAGTATCATATTGAAAGGAAGGACAAATAAATAAGTGGAATGAAAAAATAAATTTCCGACAGTGCTCAAACCACTTCTTTGTATCCTGAGAAACTGGATGAAATTTTGGTATGGAAGGCTGTCATTAATACACATTTTACAGGCATTTTACAGCTAGGGCTGAGAAAGGTGCTGAGGCCTGTGGAACTGACTTCTCACTGCATGAAGATTTACCCAAAAATCAGAGTCTTTCACTGCACTGACCCATGGAAACCAGCACAGACTTTGGTCAACCCCCCCAACCAGCCTTCAGCACATGACAACACACAGGCATCAGCAAGTCTGGCTGAGAAAACTGGATCAGCATTGCTGCACTTACCTTCAATAAAAGTTACTGGCATATTGTTCTGTAGAACCTAAGTGACATTTATCTTTCCTTCTCAGTCTGCCCATCCCAGGCAATTATGAGCAAGGACCGTCTCTAAATCTTGTTCTCCTATTAGACTTTATGGTGTTGTGCCCTATTCAGCAAGCACCTAGGTAGCCTCTCTGACTGCCATATAGCCTCGCTGCTTTCTTGCAGCCAAAACACTGTACTTGGTCACTTCCCAGCTCCCCTCCTTGTTCCCCATTCCAGCCACAGTTCTTACCTCCTCTCTGTGTCCGCAGAGCAATGGCCTTTGCTATGTTTGATTTCTTCACCACCTGCCTTCTGAGCAACATATGGGGCCCTCCTCAGCTTCCATGCCATGTACTCTCAGGTCACAAATGCCACATTTGAAACAGAAGCGTACTGAGCATTAAGCATTGAATAGTTAGATTTTCAAGTACGTATTTGATCTGTAATGTTATGAATTGTAATTAAGTACATGGGTATAAATTCTTTATCATTTGAGATGGCAGAATTCTTACACATCTACAAAAAGAAACTAAATTAGGAAGAAAGGAAGGAAGATTGAGCTGGGAACACACGGTATAGAAATTATAACCCGGCAGTAATCCTTCTGTTGTGCCTAAGGTTCACTGCCAGTGTAAAGTTGCACTGATGGAATAGGAAAATCAGCGTGAGTGGAAACAAAGGGGAGTTCTCTATGAACTCTCTGGGCAGGCTGTTACATTGCACGGCGGGTTTGCTTTCTTAGCTCTGCATTAAGCAATCCCGTGCTCTTCCAGCCCCCTTTCCCGAGGTATGGTCCTGCTGAGCAGCAATCGCGCTGGCTCCTTAGGTACCGGGGGTCTTCCCCCAGCGCGCAGCTCCCCCGGGATGGGGGAAAACACCCCCAGCCGTGGGATTTTGCTTCCCCGGCGCCACATCAGCGGCTGTTGCCGTCGCAGGTGCGCGCACGGAGGCACTCTGGAGCAGCGAGGGCACTTTCATCCCACTGGGGTGCGCACCGCGGCGGGACCGCAGCCTCCCTCCGAGCCGCCCCCCGCGCCCCCGGGTGCCCCCGCTCCGCTCCGTTGCGCTCCGCGGCTCCGGGGCCGGCTGACGCGTGGGGCGGCGCCGCCGAGGGCCAATCAGCCCAATGGGGCGGCGGGATGGGACGGGACGGGACGGGACGGGACGCGACGGGACGGGGCCGGGCGGCGGCAGGAGGAAGCGGCGAGATGCGGGCGGCGGCGGCGGGGGACGCGGGGCCGGGAGAGGGCGGAGGGCGGCTGCTGCCACCACCACCGCCGCTGCTGCTGCTGCTGCTGCCGCTGGCGCTGCTGGCCGCGCTGGTGGTGCGGCAGCTGCTGAAGCAGCGGCGGCCGCCCGGCTTCCCCCCCGGCCCCGCGGGGCTGCCCCTCATCGGCAACATCCACGCCCTGGGCGCGGAGCAGCCGCACGTCTACATGCGGCGGCAGAGCCACATCCACGGGCAGGTACCGGGAGCGGGACCGGGAGCGGGACCGGGACCGGGGCTGGGGCCGGGGGCAAGGAGCGGGGCCGCGCTGCGGGACGGGAGCGCTGCGGGACGGGAGCGCGGCTCCCCCTGGCGGGCAGCGGCCCCGGGAGCATCCCCGGCGGGGCACGGGCTGGGGGGGCGCTGCTGGGAAGCGCCTCTAGGGGGACAGTCGGGGAGCTGCTTGCAGGTTGTGTGCATAAGCAGGGGGGTGCTTTGTTGTTTCTCACCTGTTTCCTACCAGTCTGTTCTTACACGCTTCATTGGAAAAAAAAAAAAAAAAAAAAAGAAAAAAAAAAAGAAAAAAAAAAAGAAAAAAAAAGTGGATCTCCTAGCGGGGCATCAATGGGAGAAACAAAAGGACAGGGGCATCTCCTCGTTTCTTTCTTTTGTTTTGTCAAAAGGAAAAAGTAAAAGTGTTTCAAGGAAAACATTCACCTGAACGGATAAGAAATAGGAAGGAAAATACATTTTTAAATAAGCTCAGGTTTCCACTTGCCTGCAGTTCTGTGCCACTGCTGTTGCCAAAGATCCTGCAGAATCTGGGGGCGCTTGAAGGAGGCAGATCAGGATATGGGGAGCTCTGAAAAAGATCGACAAAATGATCTTTTATAAAAAAAAGAAATGATCTTTTTTAAAATGACATTTTGTATTCAAGGAAGCATAATAAATAAGCTATGAGTACAGTATGCAAAAATGACAGATGCTCTCAAGAAGTATACGACGAGTTTCTTCTCGTCACATAAAAAGAGCATTTGTAGCAGTGAAAAATTCAAGTTTGCTACAAGGAAATAGTCTTCACAGAATGCATTACTAGACTAGTGCTCCTTAATTCTTCATATAATGGTGTCCAACCATGCTGAGATAAAGAAAAAATAAGGATTTGTGAAAGTAAAAAATACGTGATTTATAATGCTCAGAAAAGTATGGAAAGGGATATAGAATTTTAGTCTTCAGAGTTTAGCCTCATTTTAAATTTTTTGAACCGTAGGATAAATTTTTCATTTTGTTTATCCTGTATGTGCCTTCTGCAGGATGTATTGCACCTTTCTCCAAAGCATCTAGTGCTGACCACTTCTGGAAACAGGTGATGGGACTAGCTGGGCTATGCAATCATTTGTTGGCTGTCATCATGGCTCTCACATCTGTCATCTGATGGGTCTTGGGGAGCCTGTGCAAAGTAAGCTGGTGTCCAGTTTCAGAGACAGAAAGGACTAGGTGCAGCTTGGTTGTTTTCATAACTGACACCACTTCTACATCTGCTACTGCGGAGCGATGGAAGTCTTTGCGATAACTTGTAGCTTTTGCCACAACGTCCATAACCAAATTAAGCTACTGGAATTTACCTTTACTAAGGAAGGGAGGAGAAACAGCTAACAACAGTGAGACTTCCCTGCCTTCTGTGGAAATAGTCTCACCAAATTAAGGAAGTAGCCAATACAAATATTTTATTTCTAGGTCTTTTATAGAAGATATACTTTATGCCTACTAAAGTTAGGGGAAAATATTTTTTTTTTTTCTGAAATACATACATTGTGGTACCTGACTTACATTTTTGTAATGACTTTATAAAAGCATCCCTGGTCCTTACTGTGGAGGTCTCGTCATGTTAAGTGCACTGCAAAGCAGAGTGTAGCGTGGGCTAATTTACTATATCGTTTGACAGAGTAAACCAGCTCACAACAAACTCTATGATGCCACTATTGTATCACTAGTAGAACTCTCTGGTTACCTGTATGCCCTACTGAAGTTATTATTATATTTATGAAGATTGTATTTTCCATTGAAGTTTAACATTGTTTCACTTTTTCATTAGTTGTTTTGCTTGCTTTTGTTATTTGTTCTTAAGATTTGCTTGTAATAGCATTTATTATTTTTTTCTTTTTTCTCCACAGATTTTCAGCCTTGATCTGGGTGGTATATCTGCTATTGTGCTGAATGGCTATGATGCAGTAAAAGAATGCCTTGTTCATCAAAGCGAAATTTTTGCAGATAGACCATCTCTTCCCTTGTTTAAGAAGTTAACAAACATGGGAGGTAAGTGCTAGTGTCTTCAAACAGAAATGCAGTTTTTGTCCATTAGACTTCATTTGTGTTTGTGATCACACAAACATGTGCATTAGCTGTTTTCTCTACTTTTTTGTTTGTTTTTTTTAAATCTCATGAAACGCTTTTTTTTTTTTTTATGAAACAATGCTTAAGATATCTGCAAGGATTGTCATTCTTGGACTAAATTCCATAGCAAAATGTGTTTCATTTTTTTGTCTCCATGCTCTCTCCTTCCCACTCAATTACTATCAGTTGCTGAGCCATTTTCTCTGTTCCTGGTGATCCTGAGTTTGAAGCATCTTTTAGTTTATTATTTGGCTATGAGTAGTGAAAGCACCTTCTGAAGTAGCTATACTTAGTACCCATTATTAGAATTCTTCAAATTGTTTAGGACATATTTTACCCATTATTAGAACTCTTCAAATATGTTTGAGGAACATATTTTGTTACATCTTGTCTTTTGTGTAGACTTGGGCCTTTTAAGTAGGCAAATATGATTTCTGTGGCCTTGCTATTAAGATCTATTTGAATGTTAGAGGCCCATCTAATATAAAGTTGTATGAGGAACTTAAGGAATTTGAGGAGTTTAAGAGCTGCAGCAGAAACTTACGTTCTGTGGTTAAATTGGTCAGTATTTCTCCTTGGTGATTCAATTTTGTGTTTTTTGTTTGTTTGTTTTTGTTTTGTCTTTTATGCTTGGCTTAGTAACATCTGTTTTGCAATAGCTGTTTTTCGTTGCTTTACACAGATTTCAGCCACATCATTAAAAATTGTACCCTGTTCCTTCCTTAGTTCAGTATTCTTTTTTTTTCCTTGCTTAGAGTGCTTAATTAACTTTACTGTGTTTAACTTAAGTATCTTAATTAACATTCAGGAGCTGCGTTGACTTCAAAGATGTTTGTCAGAAGCAGGCTGACAGTCCCAGCTCCCAGTGACACTTTTTATACCTCCCTGAGGTGTGGAGAAGTACTGTGAACTTTACAACTCTGATAAAAGATAGATTTGATAATATTCAGTATTTGAATTCAAGTTTAATAGGAAGGATCTCTTTGATTTTTTTATTACCAATTTCACTTCTTAACTTTTGTTTATTGGATATGCTACTTTAATAATAAGTGAGTGAGAACTTCAGTGAAGAAAGGAAGATATGGGCTTTACTACGTGTTAGTATACGTGTTATGTCCCAGAAGGGCTTGTGTTTTGATTGCTAAAATGTTTTTTGTCTTCATGGGTATCAAAATACTCTTGGTGTACCTGTTGTCATTATAGTTGCGTTGCATTTTGCTGTGTGGAAGTACCCATAGCAGCTGTTCTATCTTAGTCCAAATTTTCACAAACACAGAATGTTTCCAAACTGATCGGATATGCCTCTACATAAGGATACGATGTCTGTTAGCCTGCTTGGATAGGTTAGGCAAATGTTTGTCAGGAGTAGCTCAGGCAAATTTAATTCAACTTTGAGGCAGAGAGATTGTTTCAATAATCATTTAATGGTTCATTCTATCGATAGTAATATAAAGTGGATTGATATGTTAAATAATTCTATCATCTTATGGGGGAAAAATAAAGCATTGCATAAAATACTGTGTCAAAATATTTTTTCAGGCTTACTGAACAGTAAATATGGCAGAGGATGGACAGAGCATCGCAAATTAGCTGTAAATACCTTTCGAATTTTTGGATATGGTCAAAGATCTTTTGAACACAAAATTTCTGAAGAATCTGTGTTTTTTCTTGATGCCATTGATACGTACAAAGGCAGACCATTTGATCTTAAGCACTTGATAACAAATGCCGTTTCAAACATTACTAATCTGATTATTTTTGGAGAACGTTTTACATATGAAGATACTGAATTTCAGCACATGATTGAGATTTTTAGTGAAAATATTGAATTAGCTGCTAGCGCTTCTGTATTTTTATATAATGCTTTTCCGTGGATTGGTATCTTGCCATTTGGGAAACACCAGCAGCTGTTTAAAAATGCAGCTGAAGTCTATGACTTTCTTCATGAGCTTATTGAACGTGTCTCTGAAAATAGGAAGCCTCAGTCACCTCGACATTTTGTAGATGCATATTTAGATGAGATGGACTGCAATGAAAATGATCCAGAATCTACCTATTCAAGAGAAAACTTAATTTTCTCTGTTGGAGAACTCATCATAGCTGGGACAGAAACCACAACAAATGTTTTAAGATGGGCAGTGTTATTTATGGCTCTATATCCACACATTCAAGGTAAGAATGCTGATATTTTGAGGAACTGATACACTTTCCAATTGCCAGTTTAAAATGCTTTTTCAAAATAGTAAAGTTATCCATACTTGTAACTAAAAATGAAGGTTTGTATATATTACTGTACTTCATCATTTTCCAAATATGCTATGGACAGATGTGCAAAGCTGAGTTTATTTGCAGATGAAGATATCAAAATTGAAGCATAGATAGTATTGATGATAGTATCTTAGATTCTATTATTAAATTTTGTTTTAAAACTTTTTATGGAGCTTTGATTTTTTTTCCATAAATTTGATTTTTTTCCATAAATTATTTCTAATATATTTAAATTTAGCATTATGGTGCTTAATATTGGTTGGCAGGTGCACTAGGTCTATGTAGTAAAATAATAAAGAAATGCAAATATGTATAAAAATATTAAACTAAATAAATGTAAAAACATCAGCAAAAATGTTTTGGATAACTGCTTAGGTACAATTTCATTTATCCTTAAGTGCCTCCACTCAAAATAGATGTAGATGTCACAGACGTGTATATTTATACTTCTAGAAGAAAGAAAAAAAAGCATTTCAAAAATATAAGATATGTTACAGACATTCTGAAGTAAGGCAGCACTAGATGTCTGAGTATCAGCCCAGCCACTTTGTGTAGAAGTTTGGATATTAGAAGTGAATAGTAACACTTCTTGTTTCACTGCTTACAGTTTTGCTTTTCCTATCAAAATCTTATAAGTGCTAAGTTCAACTAGAGACTTGCGGTATTTGGAGAAAAAGCAGCCTAGATGACTCAAACTTGGAAAGTTACTATTTATGCTTTGACCAAATAATATTGCTCTAACATCAATTTGAACACCATTATTTTAGATTAGGGATGAAACACTACCCATGTCTATAAGGATGTTAAGTTCTGCATAGGAACCAGATATCGTTGTAAATGAAAGATTGTTTTCTTCTCATGGTAGTGGGTATATAACTGCACCTTCTCATTTTCTCAGCTATATAATATATATATATATTAAATTTAAATAAAGTGGACAAAACATAATTATTCTTTTTAAATTTGATAAACTTTTATATTTAAGGCAAATACAGCTCTATTTAAAAAACACACTGAATATTAAAATATGTAACAATGAAAACATATGTCAAGACCTGACTTTCAATAAACAGTAAAAAGCATTCAGATTAAATATAGAAAATTGATGCCAAAGTTTTTTTTTATTGCTGTTACGATAATTGTTTTTGGTTTCATATTCATTGAGCTGGGTAAAATATTTGGTTAAGTAGAACTAAAGTTTTCTCAATGTCTTCTTACAGCCATAATTTCTTACATATTTTCTTATTTTCATTTGTTCAATGATTTTAGTTAGCTGATTAATTCATTGAACATGAGGTAACTGGTTAAAGATTAAAAATCAGGCAATTTTCATCTTCTAGTTTAGGATTAAAAGTAAGCTGTAGCAGGACTTGAAATGTTTTTTGTAAAAACTTTGATAGACATTCTAAGGAGAAATACCTACTTTCAGTTCACTGAGTACAACTAATATTATTTTGTGGGAGCTTAAAACTAAGATTTCTATTTTTAAACAAGAAGCATACTTCAGAGGTTTTAAAACAGAAGGGTCTAAAAAAATAAATATTGCTTATATGCTTTTAAGTTCCACTGATTCATCTTTATGCTTGACATAGTACAACTAGAAAGTCTACCAAAAAAAAAAGAAAAAACATTCAATAAAATTTAAAAATATATTATCTGATTAAGGATACTTAAGGTTTAGGTTGCATATATAAATTCTCTATATTTAGCTGAAAAAACAGTATATCGAGTGCCATAAGTAATCGATAGGATAAGGTTAACTAAGAACATCCTTACTCCTCTGTTAAGAGCTGACCAAGATACTCATTCAATAGAGATCAGGAAAACGTAGTTTTCTCTCTATATAACATTAGAGTTTTGTAGAGATCCATTTACCTAAAATAATCTTCTGACTGCAGATCTTATGATATAAAGTTACTGATTCAGAATTCAAATTCAGTTCACCTGCGTAAAAATAAAGATTGCTATTACCTTATTACAATGTACACCAATACATCACGGCATTACAGAACGTATTTTCACTAAGCTGCTTCTCATCTTTGTATTTTTATGTGAAATGTTGTCACTTCAGGTTGAAGAACCTGGTCATTCTGGTAGAATTTTTCTGTCATTTCCCAGATTTTTACTATCAATCCCAGATGAACTGTAAAAAAAAAAAATAAATAAATCAGTTTTGTTTTAGTTTGGAGCTTTTTGACAGTTTCAACAAAACAGGTGTATTGGGGGGGGGGGAGGAGGGGAAGAAAAGAGGTCTGGATGCCTTTGAGATTATTTAAATAATGATCTTATGCCTGTTAAGTTAATTTTTAAAATAGCTTAAAAACAGAGACTGATTGAATTTGTTCCTTTTCAGTTAAATTCAGAATCTAGCTATAGCTGTCCCTCTTACCTGATACGCTACAATGAGAGCTATTTTCATTTCAAGAGTAAATGACTTTACACTATGACAATTTCAAAGAATCAGCAGAATTATACAAATGAAATCTTAAGTAGGTAATTTCAGTGTTATTTGTGTCCACTCAGGTACTTTAGTACATTACTCAAGTACATTATCTTTGCAGTGTCATGCTTGTTTCCTTCATTTTGAAGAGCTCCAGAAATAAAAGTATCCCAAGTGAAAAAGAGTATGTCAAAGCATGTTTTCACTTTTTAATAATTGCTCTTTAAATGAAGATTACTGGTATATATGCTAATAAGAATTCCTACTAGCTAGAGGAAGAAAACAAGAGTCTAAATGCTTATAAGCTACTATATTTTGTATAAGGTATTTAATATTTCAGTATTCTTTTAAAAGTATGTTTTTAAGCTAGAAAACATGCAGAATATTATTCAATAAACAACATGCTTTTATTCCTTTTCCTAACAGGGCAAGTTCAAAAAGAAATCGATTTGGTCATTGGCCCAAACAAAATGCCTTCTTTAGAAGAGAAATGTAAAATGCCATACACTGAGGCTGTTCTACATGAAGTCCTGCGATTCTGTAACATAGTTCCGCTAGGTATTTTTCACGCAACTTCTAAAGATACTGTCGTGCGTGGTTACTCTATTCCTGAAGGCACTACAGTCATTACAAACCTCTACTCTGTACATTTTGATGAAAAATACTGGAGCAACCCAGAAGTATTTTCTCCCGAGAGGTTTTTGGACAGCAGTGGGCAGTTTGTCAAAAAAGATGCATTTGTTCCTTTTTCACTAGGTATGAGCCATTGCTTCAACTGTTCCTTTTCATAAATCTAGGAATGTACAACACGGAATTGATAGCAATTAATCAGGAACGGGCAGCATGATATAAAATGTCCACAGTTCTGATGAAACAGCTATTTTAAAGCTATATTAAATATAATGCATTCTGGACATAGCAGATTTTTGAATAATACCCTTATTATTATATAAACTAACAAGAGATTGCATAGTATCCTTAACTGGGGAGTCTATATATATCATATCATTGTAGTACCTAAATGCTCTTTGTTACATGATTAATGGAGATAGTCACTTGCTGTTGAATTCGTTACGTACAGGTGATTTGCACACCCAGTTTTCAAATTTCAGCACTTTGGTCAGCACCAGAAATTGCAGGTATTATTCCAAATTACCTTGGGGGGCAGATTATAACACTGCTTTCTGCCCCCAAGGAAATATTCTTGGAATCCTAAATTGTCTTGATAGGCATCATATGGTGCTTCTTAAGGGGGGCCATTTACCTCTCATATAATTAGCAACCTAAAAATTACTTGTTTAACATAAGCTTACTGCCTAGCTGCAGTCCATAAAAAGACATACCCTGTGTAGAGGATTACTTACTTTACAATCTGAGATACACTTTCTCCAAGAAATAAATGGAGCCAAGACAATTTTCTTGGACTAGATGCACAACTTCTACATGGCTAAATTTAGATGTAATGAATTCTATCTTTATTACATATTTTATTATGGTTATGGCATGGTATTTTTTTTTTGTTGTTTTGTTTTGGTTTTCTACCTTATTACTTCTAGGTTTTGTTATCCATTCATCTGTCTTACAAAACCACTATTTCCCTTAGAATAGAAATGACCGTTCTTATTCACTAGTGAAAATGTAATTAATTAATTAATGTTTAAAGTGTTTTTTTTCAAAAACTTTTTTTCCAATCCAGGAAGAAGACATTGTCTTGGAGAACAGCTAGCTCGAATGGAAATGTTTTTGTTTTTCACTTCATTACTACAACGATTTCATCTGTGTTTTCCTCATGGTGTGATTCCAGATCTCAAACCGAGGTTAGGCATGACATTACAACCACAGCCATACCTCATTTGTGCAGAACGACGATGAAGAGAAGTATCTAGACTGTCAGGTGGAATAAAATGCTCCAAGTTGCAGCTGAGGAACCACTTGCCTTCTATGTCTAAATGTATTCATCTTGGAAGAACAAAAATTTAAGAACTTAAACTGTGGCTACATGTATTTGTACACAAGTTTATGTGTTTGTTTTTTTTTCTACTTTGTTTTCATATATATGTAAAAAAGCAAAAACATACAGCACATCCTGTGTCTAAAGTTGATATTTTCACTCCATATTTTTTTAAAAATATTTCTTTGCAAGCTATTTTACTTGAGAGGATATTTTTATAGACATGTAGTATATTGCTCCAAATTTTTTATGCTGTGATTTATCTGTAGAAATCCCATACACACTATTCCAGGAAAGCAGTTCTTTATAATTCTCAATTACATTTACATAGCTAAAAAGGTTTTAAAGATATCTATTTAACTGTATGTAATTAAAAAAAAAAATATTATTTCCAGCCTTGACAAACAAATTGACAATTAAAACATTTTATTCATTACTTCTCCTTGCCCAATCTTCCTAGTTGGTCTTCATTTTCTAGTGAGTCAGATAACCGCGTGAATTCACTTTTAAGATCTTTTATGGCTTGTTTCTCATTTAGTAACATACACAAAGTGTTCCATTATTCCCATGCTCATGACAGTTACAGCAATCTTCTTTGCCAGTTTATTGCATTTCCAGACACGGGTCCTCCACTGCCTCCCCACACAAAGCATTATGTAATCATTAAGCTCTTCCTAAGTAGTCTAGAAAAAAGTGTTTGTGTTACCACTGCCACATGCAAATATGCTATAAGTCAAGAAAATAAGCTGATAATGAGACTGACAAGAAAAGAGACTTTTTTTTTTGAGGGGGGCAATAGAGTAGGGTAAGGAGAAACAAATATTTAAATGGATTTTAAACACAAGCTGTAAGCCCAAAAACAACTTCTACCAGCCTCATTTTTTATTCTGTTTGACAGCTATTGCTTTATGGTTATTGGTAGACATAAACTTAGAACACAGGTCCTACAGGAGAACCTGATACTCTGAATGTGGTGCACAAGTCTGCGTTGTGTGGGGAGTAGTGGGACTTCAGAATAGAGTTCGGTGAAAAACACACACTGAGCAAACAGCTATTTATGAACATGGCTGAGTATTAGGCTTGCTGTTTATGCAGCTTTTGCTTTGACTCGGAGCTGTGGGAAAGTTCAAAGGCAGGAATTTGTCATTTTTCTTCTCACTTGATGTTTCTGGCTTATACTGAGTAGAAATGCTTCCTTTCTTTGGAGATAACAAAAGAGAAAGGTCAAATAGAGGTAATGACAGTCCACTTATATAATAGTCTGTTGACTTAAGATGCAGCAGGTCCAAATTAAATTACTTACCCTGTCAGAGGGTAGTCAGACTCACGTGTCTCACAGGGATCATCTGAAATGCGTATTTCTGATGCTCTGAAGAGGGAAGGAAGACTATCAAATCCTCTTGCTGACCAACTGCTTTTCTGTAGAGATACAAGATTTCTAAAGAAAAAAAAAAAAAAGTGTCAGCCTTATTCCTGTGTATTTGACACACCATGGAAGTTGCAAATAATCTGCTCCTAAGATTTTGGCATACAGGGTGTATAGGGATGAGACAGCTGCTGAGGTTCTTAATACAGTTAAATTTGAGACTTTTCTGTTGTCAGCGTGAGTAGATGGTGGGTACTTCTGAAATGTTTATGTAAAAATAGTGTGATCTACAAAATGTAGGCCCCTTTAGCATGAAGAAAAATGGAATGGAAAAAAGAGTTTTCAGAGTTACATTTCTGGACTTACGGGAATTCTGATACCCACTCACAGCTAGAGTTTTGCTGCTTGATATTTGGTTAGAATGTGTTTCAAATAATCTAAATTGAAGGGGGGAGGGGTTAAAAAATAATCAAGAGGTACTTCTTGTAGGGCTACACTGAAAACACAGCTGGCCAGTGATAATTCCCTTTTCCCTTTGAGAAATAATTCTTGGCTGGTCTTAAATCCATTTAATGAGAACTGTATTGATTATATGCCATTCTGGTTTCTAAATCAAAATACCTTATAAAAGCCTTAGAATATTAATGAGAACTGTTATGATTATCTGCCAATTTACAGTCTCGTTCAAACAATCAAATACATCTGACAAGCTATCTTCTCTATAGCATTAGTTATGTTTCATTCGGTATCAACTTTTTTTATTATTATTATTTTCCCTCAGGTATCTGACTTAGAATTATCCTAATCATCCAATTTAATCATTTGAAATATTGACATATTAGTTTTTCCAGTCTTCTGGTATTTCCCCGTTACACCAAGACTGAATTGTAACGAACATGAGTAGACAGCTAGGTGCTGAGAATTCCCCAGTGAACGTTTTAGAGTGGAAATATGTAGCATAACTGCCTGCTATTTATCATTCTTTTGGGATTAAAGCATTTATTTTGTGTTAAAAATACATTGGTTAATTTTTTTCCCCAAATGCAGACCAAGTACTTCCTGCATAGTTTATCTTTTCATCATTTTTACCAGCATTGTTGCATTCTCAATAATTACATTATTCCCTTTAAGAAATGGTCAGTATTACTGAAAGGGCTTGGTGGGTACTGTTTTGGGGTTGTTTATGTTCTGTTGTTGTTCATGTCATGTTCAAATGTCTATACCCATTAAGGACTCCTAATCCTTCAACTTTGCTGACTCCAGGTTCTGTTTCTATCACTTACTCCACTGTCAATTTGCTGTATTTCATACCTTACAGTGTAATCCATATTGTAATGCTATAATTCTTAAAAGAGGTTCAGATTCATGGTGGATAGGTAAACATGCACTTTAACTCTGCAGCCAAAAGATCTTGCGTTGACAGAATATTGAGTGAGGATACAGAAGCCACATATATATTTGATGCTGGCACAAGCATTCCTCAAATACTGTCCCGATCTGTTGTCTATATTTAAAGGAGTGTTTAAAATGTGGCTGTGTTCCTATAAAGCTGTAAGAATAACTTAGAATGTGCTTATGCTGTATATTCTGGCTTTCTGCAAGGTACTTCTACTTATTTATGAGCTGACCAAATACTATGTGATCATATGAGGGTAGCACTTGTCCAAGCCAATATGGTTCCAAATCAGCATGATTTATTATTTCAGACTTGGTGATATATGGGCACTGTTTGACAGCTTATGGATAAATTGGGGGCTCAAGCATGTTTCCAGAATATACACCACAGAAATGTACTGTAGAACATATTGGCTAGTCATACATTCAAGACAATTCATTTGCTTCATTTATCAAACACGTGATTAAGTGACCTGATTACAGTCTACTGCCATCTATACAGAGAGAAAAAGTTGATAAAAGATCTCTTCAGTTAGTAGGAAAGAACAGAAAGAGAAGTCAAGCTGAAATATCCTTGAGCTAGGAAGCAGGTGAATACATTGAAACTGCTGTAGATGAAGAATTAGATATATAACTAACAGTGAGGATATCCCTGGATAGTTATAGAAATTTTAAAATCAGTTATCAGACATTTCTCCTGTTCTCTGCTTATAATTTGAATTGCCTTCAGCATGAGGTGTAAACTATAGTCACAATAATCTCCCATCTCAATCATCACCTTTTTAAAGTGTACTGTTCATTCTGAATTCCATATTTCTACTAGTCATTCAAGTGTTAAAGCAGCCTGAGTTTACATATCAAGCAAACTGTTTCTTGATTTGGTATGTCATAATTGGATTCTGTGGTTGCCTGCATAGTGAGGACAAATTCTCAGGATAAATTGGTCTTTAAAGGTACAGACATGGACTTTCATAGCAATTAGGTATCGGAGGTGTTGTTTAGGCATTGGGCTTCATAATTTGAAGCCTTTGTCTAATCAAGATCAAATTAAACTTCTGGAAAAGTTACACCTTATTCTGTCCTTCATACAATTTGAGGATCACTAGATTGTTCCATTTCTAGGTTTATCCTTTTAGATATTTCTGAAGGCTGTCAACTACCTTGATGTCAATGTGATTAGAATTAGGCAGAACCCATACTCACAGTGGTCATTTCTTAGGAAGACTGCCAGAATTCAGGAGACATTACGTTTGCTACGTTCTTCTGAATAAGTAACATTACAAATAGATTAAGTCTATTACAATAATGGAGCAAATCAGGAATGTGCAATCTAATCCAATAGTTTACTATTACTGCAGCAGATGGCTGCTTGCCCAAAATTTTACATGTGATTTATAACAGCCTATAGTAATACAACAGGAAACGTAATACAGTTACTATTTTTCCCTTGCTGTTTTTAACTGCTGACTTACTCATCCAGGCTAGTACTAAAAAATCTTAAAAGAAATATCCTTAATTTGTATAAACTATTACTTGTAAAAAGCATGAAAAGAGATTACATATATACATTATAAATAGTAATGTACATATAAAGTAACATATGTAAAGAGCTTTTTACATGACACTTAATTTGTTAGTATGCTTAACCATATTAATCCCACTGCTAGTGTCTAGACAACAGGGTCCACACTGAATACTCTTATGCTCTTACTAAAATGAGGCAATAAAAGATGACTCAAATATTGTTCAGGTCTTTCACCAATATAGGTAATGCAGGTAGGATTTCATATCAATAAGGAATGCAAATGAAGTAACAGAATCACTATTGATATAACACCTTAAAGAATTCCAGTTATTCTAAAGCAAAGTTTACTTTCTTCACACACATTCAATTTTAGGGAGTCCAACTTCCCTTTGGTTGTCTTCAACTTGCACAATAAACTCAGTTAAAATAATGCTCGTCGTGAACACGCACCACAGCAGAACTAAATTGGTCTAATTTTTCCAGGAGAAACCTAGGTAATTATGAGACATCTTGTGCCTATATAGGTAAGGAAGTTCATTTAATTGTTCTTCATGGGAGCATAAGAGTTGTTTTTTTAAAGATCCTCAAGGAATCCAGATCTTCTCCCATTGTATTTTACATTGTATGAAACTATAATGTTTCTCTTTTAAAGTACAGTCAAAATTAGTAGGCAGTTCCACTGAGTCAGTAGACACTTCCAATTCCTGTTTTTTGAACGTTGGTATTTGTCATATTTCTAAGATTGTGCGCATTTCCTTATTAGTCTTTAAAGTGATTCACATGAGATCCTGTTTCTAGTCCTAGTATTTCGCATATAGGTCCAGAAATAAGGTCAGTAAGTTATACAGTTCGCTCATCTGACCCAGGCAATATATTTTTTTCTCAGAGCTGTTTATAAGACTTCCTTTGTACACTAAGGTAATATCTCTCAGTGAATCACACTCTCAGTCCTCAAGCCTGAGTCTTCTTTCCTGCAACTTAAAGTTGTTACTACTTGTCCTAAACACTATGAACACTGAAAACATTATTCTGATTACTTTGCTCTTTGAAGCAGCCTTATAAGACTTTGAATATAATTACTTAAGTCTGATTTTTTTTCTAGACTCAGAAAAATCTCTCGAATTCATTTAATCATCCTCTTCTCTCTTTAGGACATGTCTTCTGTGTTTCTGATCAGTCACACTGATCTGTATTGGAATTCAGCAGTCTATCTAATGGACATACTTTTCCTGGGGTGTGACATATGAAATTAGAAAAAGTACTTTGGTAATTCCTTATGTACACTGAGTAGAACAAAGTGATTATAAACCCATTCTCAAAGATAAATAATAGTGCTTCTTTATTCACTTCTCTGAGAGGAACCTTAGTTAGCATATGAATCAGATAAATTAACAATACCACAGAGATTAATTAACACTAGCAGGATCAATGTCATGATAAAAGACGCAGAAGCCTGTTTGAATGACCACACAAGAGTAAGTTTTCATGCCTAACTGGCATGGTGACAAATGAGTTTGAAAGCAGTCTGCTCCTCACTTGCTATAAGCAATATTAAGCCTACCTTTTGGATTTTTGTTATAATGCATATATCTTAAGCCGAGCATTAGTCCCTGTTTTATAAGTAAAATGAAAAGACTTCGATCTCATCCAAGGTGCAAAGGGTTCTGCTGATCTGGAGAGATGAGTCAGGAGTGAATCATCACCTGATTTTTGGCAAGGTACTTAGAAGATGGACAAATCACAAGGTGAATGATAGGAATCATTTGAAACACTATGCCACCTCATCATTATTTAAAGGCTCTGTTGTTTTAATGTTAAGCATTTCTATTTCTATTTTTCTGAAACCTCAGGCAAACCACAAGACAAAGTTTCTGCTCTGTATAAGCTTTTAACTCTCTTAGGTTTCACACATACTAATGTTCTGCCAACTAGTAATGTTGTGCCAGGTAGTAGAACCTATCATAGACACCAGTTGCTATCACCTACGATCTCTTGCAGTACAGAAATCAAAAGATGACTCACAGTGTACAGATTCCAAAAGAAGCCTTCCAGTCAAACATTTCTGATCATGACGTGCCCTTTTTTTAAAGGGTGGTTGTAGTATCACATAGAACCAAGTGTCAATCCCTTAGGTGCGTTAAACACATTATTCAGTATCCTGCATATATCACAACATGGCATTTAAAGTTAGTCATTTTCTGGACAGACTTTTAAATCTCAGTACCCAAGAAAAACAGCTTTTTCTTTACTGGGATGATTTTCTTTAGCTTAATGCTATCATTAGCAAAACAAGCAATTGCTAGTTACTGTATTATTTTGGAATATTAAAGATAACAAAAGTAAGACCAACCAGAAGTATTATTTCAAGTGCAAACCAGAAGTGCCTTAGAGAAATGAGAGTAGAAATGGACAACAAAACCATTAAGACAGATGGCTCTGTTAAGAGTTACGTATATATACACAAATGTCTTTAAGGGTTATACATCTGCAGGAGGGTGTGGAGTACAAATACTATGCCAGGAGGATATCTTTCAACTCAAGTACACTGGAGTGTTTATCCTATTGTAGCTTAGCTTTCCTTCCTGTTTTCTCAGAAATATAAGCCATTATTTTCTCATTTAACAGGAAAAAAAAATAAAATACTGATTGCTTGTGACCCTATTAAATACATATGGATCAGTTAAGACTAGTTAACAATTGTGGTTTTTTGCCCACTTCATCTCTGAAAAGTCACGGTATGATTATCATAGCAAGATAAAGTTTTAATTCTGGAGATATCAGAAGGAAAGTTTTTCAATGCAAAAATGAAAGCAATTGATCACCTCATTTGCCTTTGAACAGACACAAGGAAGCAAGTTGTCCGAAACCAATTCTGAGGAAAGCTGTAAGAAAATTTATATATATAATAAAATTAAAAATAATTAAAATAAAACACCACCTTGATCATATTTTTATACCTTATTTGATCAAGTTCGTGTTTGTCCACACATTTTTAAACATATTAACATTTATTTGCCACAGAAAAAAAAAAATCAATTTTCTTAAATTTGCAACATTTGAGTTATGGTAGTTGTATTTTTATTGATGGTATTTTTATTTATATATTTATTTTATTGTATTTTTATTATTATACATTAGTGGTATGACTTGTATTTTTAATAACAATGAAAATTATCATGACATATCAAAAGATATCCTGTTTCCATATTTTTTGAAGACAATGAACTGACTTCAAATTATGAACTGTGTCTCTCTTCCATATAAGAATGTATCGTGTATGTGCAATTATATTTATGCTCCGCCTACTTCTTTCCTAATTTTCATCACCTAAGCTAATTCGGTGATTCAAGTATCATAGGCTGGGATTCCTGATCTCAGACTCATCAGCAAATGATACTTCAATTCTGCACCTCTCACTTTTTTTCAAACATTTTTGGACAAAAGGGAAAGTACTGCCCCAGGCGTTTTTGTTCCAGACTAGTTTACTTCAATTTCTTTGTATACTTTTAGAAGAATCATAAACCAGCCTTCATCTATACATACCCAGGAGGAAGCACCAGAGCTAGAAGTGAGCTCTCAAATCCTGCTAACACCTTTTGTTGATTCACCTGCCATTGTTTGTGTTCGACAGATAAATGTCTGTCAGTTTCAACGCCTATGAGAATATTCCCTTTCTTTTCACTTAAAATGAAAAGGGTGTTGAAAGAAGAGCAATGAAATTATTTTTCTCAGAACAATGTACTTTTGTCACCTGACAGAACTCTCCTCCAATTGATCCCCTTTAATTAGAAAGTTGAATGCAAGAAGTACACAGAAAAAAAATGTTTTATGCATATAGTAAATACAGATTTACTCAAACTTTGTAAACTTGAACTTACCTGAAGTAATGTTACACCTGTGCTTCCATTTTGAATCCTAGACTCACCATCTGAATGTGCTGTGAATAATTCATGGGAAGACGATCCAAGTTGGTTTTGACTCTGGTAATTAGTACCACCATGACATTCAGAGGTCTCCAGAGCTGTAAAGGGAATTGGCTCTTTACAGAAAACAAACTCAATTGTTCAGTTCTGTATGCATGGGAGCAAGTAATCCAACCCACATTGCAAAAGAGGGCAACGAGGAGGTGGGACACTGTCTTGACAGAAAAGATGTTGCAAAGACTTCACTTAAAACTGAGAATATTATCCATTAAATGTTTATCTAGAAGCATAAAATTCAGTGTAGGCATCCCTTGGTGGCTGTGAACTGATGCATTAAACTAGTTGTAATCTTTTCTCATTTTCTCATTCTGGTCTGTTACCAGAATTGTTTGTTGTTTTGTTTGTTTTGTTGTTGTTGTTGTTTTGTTTTGTTATTTATTTTTTTTTCCTAAATTTAAAAACTTCTTCCGTATTTCTAAAGAATATAATGGAAACCTAAGATAAAGTTGCTGGCAATGCTGTCACCAGATATAATTACTGCCAATGCTTTAGTAAAAGATAATGTTATTTCTACCTTATTATTCTCTCTTTATAATACTTTTTAATAATGCTCTTTTAAAAATGGAAACTAAATGGAGAACTGCCATGTAAAATACCGTAACTGTAACTTTAAACAAGCACATCTGCATTCTTTTGTCAGTAAAAGCAAGAATGAAACTAAACTGCATTAATGTGCCCCCCCCACTTTTTTTAAACATGAAAACACAAACTAACCACAAAATGCTGAAAACATAGCATATTGAAACACGCATAATTTCTGTAGTCTTCAAATGATTTGTTAGGAAATATGTGAGCACCAAATGTAAAATACAAGGGAGTGATAAGTGTCACCTTCACAGAATCACAGATTCATCTAGGTTGAAAGAGACCTCCAAGTAGTCCAACCTCTGACCTAACACTAACAAGTCCTCCACTAAACCATATCTCTAAGCTCTACATTCTCATTCAATAGTGCAATACTTTATTAATGACAGAAATATCTGTTTTTAACGCTGCTCATGTTACAAAAAAAAAAAATGCAGTGATAGTCATAATGGCAGCAAAGTAGATTTTGGCACTTATTATATAAAATAACAAATGCACAATTCAGCAGTCTTCTAAGTTAATCCACAAAAAGGTAATTAGTGGAATATAGAAAAAAAAATCTTTCTCAGTTATTTAAACTGTCCCAAGAGCAAAACAGAAATTCAGTTGTGTAAAATAGTGCAATAGAATTTACACAAGGTTAGCTTAGGAATGTTACCTCTTTTTCAAGTCAACTGATAAAAATGTAAACAAGAATGTGCTAAAATACATTTAGCAACTTGAACATGTGTGCATTTTTTAAAAAAAATTCCATTCAACAGTACAGCATGTAAGTGTTTAGTATTAAAAGATGCACTTTTAAAGCTTGCTTTATATGTGGCTTACATAAGGTGATCATGCACTTGCAGCCTAATTTTTTACTTTTGCAATCAGTCCTCCAATGGGAGTGTTCCTAAAAATATATTTGTTTGGATTGTCTAAGCTTATTTAAAACCTAAATTATCTAAAGTGTAATATAGTACAGTGATATTTATCTTACTATTAGGCCTTACATGAAGTTTTCACATTCTGCTTTCCATATGTATATTTCAGGATGTACATCACACTTGGAGGCAATATAAGCTATGTCTGTGATAAAAGAAAATATGTAGGACACATTAAAATACACTAGTCATTTTGAAACAATATTTTGTATCTTTTTTTAAAAAAAAATCTTTAATTCTCCTAAAGTTTTACATACAAAGAATAAATGAAATACGATCTTATTACTTTAAAATTTAATACCAGAAAATGGTGCAAGATAAAATCTATTGTGTGGTTGACTTGTTTTTAAACAGGAACCTGAGAAAGGGCAGGAAATATAACATTTTAACTAGAGAATAAAATCCCTTAATAATTTAAGTAGCTGAACAGATTTTTAATGTTCTACCACAAAACAGCAAGGCAACAGATATGGCCTTATATTCAATGAATTATCGTGAACACCCACTGCAAACCTGAATATTTTCTGCAAAAATAAAACATCAGATTATGCACAAGAATAAAAAGCATCAGAAATAGATGCACCTGATTTTTTTCTTTTTTCTTTTTTTTTTTTTTTAAACCACAAACACCAGAATTTAGCATTTATGTCACAGTCCTTGAACAGTTGCTCTGAGATGACTACATTAAGCACACTATTGCACTAAGTAGACACCCCACAACAGGCTTGCACTGCAACAGTAACATGGTTTTCATACAGGCACAGACTTTGTCTTATTCATGTTCAAAAACAACATGAAATACACAACTCATTACAATATTAGAATTCATCCAACATTTCCTTGTTAGCAAAAAGTTCTTGCCACTTTGGTAACTCAAGTCACTGAATGTTTTTAAAAATTGCAGGTACCTCAAGGAAAACAGGAGTTCCTTTTTCAGCAAGGCAGCATTATATCAGAATATTTTATACCAACTAAGGCATAAAGAACTTTGCATCAGGTATACAATACTCAATCTTTGAATAAAGTTTCGTATTCTGTGTGGCGAAAGTGCATAGGGATTCCACTGGAGTAGAAAGAATCCTCTCACAGTATTAAGGCCTTTCAATTTTAAGTGAACTGTGTTAGGCGAAAGTCAACACAGTGAAAATAGATATAGATAGATAGAAGCTTTCTATCTTTGTACTGGACATGACTGAAGTTTTCTCAGCATGTCTTTTCTTCTCCTAGCTGTCGTTCATCTTCTTCATCAGCTTCCTCAATAACCTGAATTTCATCTGCTTGAGGTAAAGATGAGTTCTCAGTCAGCAGTTTAGCTCCTTCAGCTTTATTTTTTTCTTCTTCTTCAATTGCTTTCTTCCAAATTTTGTGATTTTCACTTAGATGGTGTATTAGCTGGCAAAATATTCGTCGTCTACCTTTTCTTCTTTGAGCTTCTGAAAAATTAAAAGCATTAATTGATTTTTTGGGATTCAAAGTAATTACATTTTATACATACATATAAAATGCCATGTTGAAAAACAGATGTAAATTTGAGAAAAAACACAGATTCTTATTCAGAATATTTGAACAGTGACACGGAAAAGTATAGTGATGACTTTTTTTTTTTTATTTGCAAGTCTCCTGATATTAACAAAAAATTATTATGAGTAAAAATTAAGGTGCATAATCACAAAATCTACAATATTTGAACTCCCTAATTTCAACTATCATTGTTATTCCTGAATGTATTGAATAAAAAAATGTGTGTACAAACTCAAATACAGAAACTTACTTAAAATAAGATCGTCTTCTATTTCCTCATCATCACTCTCCGACTGTGCTCCATCATCATCTTCATTACTTTCTGCATCCTCCTCTTCATCAACCCATTGCCCTGGAAGCAACCCAGCTGCGTTATAGGAATTACAAAGGGGGCCAACTATGTGAGTGATGAAAGATTCTTGCAGTTTTGCAAGCTGTGGAGAAGAGCGATCCATGAAGGGACTTATAGGCAACCCAAGACTTGCCTCCTCATCACCCTGAAAAAGAAAGGACCAAAAATACAGAACTTCTCAAAAAATTAAATTCCATTTTTAAAGAGCAACTTTAAGGAACCAAATAGATATTAAATGGATTGCGTCTATGTGTCAAAGGCAATAATAATATAGACTAAATGAGTGAAAATGTAAACAGGACAAATAATAATGAAAAATAAAGACATTTTCAGATTTGCACAGATCATAATCCTCCCCTCAGCTTTGCTGCGATACCCTTTGTATGGATGAAGATCTAGTTCTACTGGGACTGCTATTCCTCTGCCTTTATAGGATAGCTTCAGGGTAGGCAGAAATTTGACTTCAGCTGCTGAGCTGATGAACAGAGAAAATGGGAAAGTAATCAAATAGAGTAAGGCGTTCTGATGAATGGCTTCCTCCAAAAGCATGGGGTAGATTGAAAGGAACCACAACATCCAATATAAATTACATATATCTATATATAAATATTATATATGTATGTATTTATTTTTATAAATGAGAGAAGAAAAATTTGAGCAGTTGCTCTGATTTATAATAACTTGTCTTAGCATTTCTGTGGGACCTGATTGTTTGATTTTTTTTTCCTAAAGGAATAACTTAGAACACTAGGTGTAAGCACTTCAGGTACTAAGTGAAAACTTAAGTCTCCTAAGTGTTTTTGTAGTTTACTTGTATTATCCTAGTCTGAAAGATATTTTTTAATCCCTGGTTGTTGCCTTATAAATAGTGAATCCCCTAGGAAATTGGCTACAGAAAAATAACTGTAGAAATGTTGTAAGATATATTTGGGGGGGCCTTACAGAAGTTCTAGATGTAAAAATAGACACCCAATTTTCTGACTTTTTTTTTTTTTTTTTTTAAGTTATTTACAATAGGATTATTTATTAAAGTTCCTTTATTAAAGTTCCACTGTAAACATTTATTTACATTTTAATAATGCTAATTACTAATGCATATATTTCATAGTTGGTTTTGAAAGTTTTAATGTCTTCTGCCTCGGCACTATGGATTCATTGAATATACATTTCCAGTCTTGTGGATTCCATAATATTCTTTGACAAGGAATCATTCCTGTTAACTTCCCAAAGTGGAAGAAGTTATTTTAGTTTATCAGTATCAACCTAAAGGAAGAGGTGGGGAATGAACAAAACTAATATCTGAAAAATGGACAACATTAGTGGGGAATTTTTTTTCAAGCTTCTAAGAAAATAGGAAGTAAAAGATTATGTTAGCATACTAAGTATAAAAATTACTTGACAGTATTCAGAAAGAGAAGGTGGAAATACTTTACCTGAAGATTTAAGGCAAGGAATAATATTTAGCTATATATTTTTAATGTAAGGAATTGTATGTCTGTCCCAAATTAAAAAAAACAAAAACAAAAAAACCTTTCCATACCTACCTGTTCATAAAATTCATTAACAATGCCTTCTGTCCATTTCAGATGCAGCTCTCTAACTTTTGCTGGGCCATTAATATCTGCCAGTTTTATGCATATTTGACAGACAAGCAAGCGATCATTTTCATTGCTCCATTCTATACCATGACTGTTGATATCATTGACCTGTGTTGAGTACATACGTTTTTAAAAATTAAGTTAAAACTATTCATGAACATTATATTTTCAGGCTCTACACAACAGACAGACACTTGATTAAGTTTTTTCTTTTGTTGTTGTTTTTGTTTTGTCAATTTGTTTTGTTTTGTCATTTTTATTCAAAGTCACTTTCTATCTTTGAGAAGGACTGAACCATGATATGATTGAGGTCTCCCATGAGTCCTGTGTGTCGCATCTGCTAAGCCTACTATGCGATACACAAACTGACATATAACTGTTCTACACATATTTGATTTTTTTGAGTCACTTAAATATAAATAATTTAAAACTTCAAATGCAAGTTATTAATGCTATCAAATAGCAATGCAAACATAGCTATTCATGCATATCATGACCATCGTGAAATTTGTGACAACATTAAAATGTAACTAACCTTGGCATTAAATTCTGCAAGGAAATCAAAATGCTTCTTGAGATCTGTGGCAAGAATTGCTTCAATCACTAAGAAACGAAAACGCTTAAATTCTACATGATCAAGATTTGATAAGAAGTTGTATTCTGGTCGTGATAAGAAAAGATTC